CATAAATTAGGGACTAATACTGAGCCATAGATTAAATAGCTATCCAAAATACACAGCTAATGGTGACACTAGGATTCAAACCCATCCAATTAATTCCAAGGCTAGGATTTTTTTCCAAGTATAATTAATATAGTTTTATATTAGTTTCAGGTGTACAATATAATGATTCAACAATTCTTTAAATTTCTCAAGGTTCATCAAGATAAGTGTATTGTTAATCCCCTTTATTTCACCCATCCTCCCCCACCCACCTGCCTTCTGGCAACCACCAGTTCTCTGTATTTAAGAGTCTAGTTTTTTGTCTCTTTTTTTCTTTGTTCATTTGTTTTGTTTCTTAAATTCCACATAAATTAAATTCACATGAGTGAAACCATGATATTTGTCTCTCTCTGACTTGTTTCTCAGTCTTATTCCCTCTAGCTCTATCTATGTTGGCACATGGCAAGATTTCATTCTTTTTTTTATAAATTTTTTTTTTCAATGTTTATTTATTTTTGGGACAGAGAGAGACAGAGCATGAACGGGGGAGGGGCAGAGAGAGAGGGAGACACAGAATCGGAAACAGGCTCCAGGCTCTGAGCCATCAGCCCAGAGCCCGACGCGGGGCTCGAACTCACGGACCGCGAGATCGTGACCTGGCTGAAGTCGGACGCTTAACCGACTGCGCCACCCAGGCGCCCCAAGATTTCATTCTTTTTTATGATTGAGTAATATTCAATTTTATATATAAAACCAAGATTGAGATTTTTAACTGCTGGGCTCTACTGCTTTCATCTAGATGACTATTTATCTTAAGTGGATTAAATGTATTTTTCAGGACTTCTAAGCTGAATGATATTCCTTTCCTAAGGTTCCTAACTCTCACAAAAACAGATTTGGGGACCTTTCCTTAGGGTTTTATTATCCCATTTTACAGATGAAAATAAGTGACTTAGCCAAAATCTTAGTTTATTAAGTGGCCATGTTAGAACTAGAACTTAGGTCCTCTCTGGTTTCTGGCCTACTGCTTTTGGCACTTTACACTGTCACTTTTTAGTTCATTAGCTACCTTCCCTTCAAGTGATCCACCCATGATGAAATTTTGTTACAGCAGCAAAAACATGCCTACATCCTTCACTCACACTTAAGTGCACTTTCATATCTGTCCTGGAATACCGATTGATCAACAAGTAAGTCTCTGGTTTTACAGTTTTACAGCATTTGTATCTTATGGAGAGACACATGAAGGCATAGTAATGGAAGTACCGATGGATACAAGAGACATCTATTACTTTAAAATTTTGTTAATGCTTTTAACATATAATTCTACAAAAATTTAATCTGGTCATAGCTGATGCTATCAAGAGCCAGATTAACATTATAGAATACTCAGGGGCGCCTGGGTGGCGCAGTCGGTTAAGCGTCCGACTTCAGCCAGGTCACAATCTCGCGGTCCGTGAGTTCGAGCCCCGCGTCAGGCTCTGGGCTGATGGCTCAGAGCCTGGAGCCTGTTTCCGATTCTGTGTCTCCCTCTCTCTCTGCCCCTCCCCCATTCATGCTCTGTCTCTCTCTGTCCCAATAATAAATAAACGTTGAAAAAAAAATTAAAAAAAAAAACATTATAGAATATTCATATTTTTGAGCCTTGAAACGGTCAGCAAATGACATGACAAAATTTATTTTAAATCTTCTAACTCAAACAGGAGTGTGAAGAAATGCAACAATTTTTCTTCGGGGCCTTTGTGCACATTTTTAAAAGCCCCTTTGGACTTCATGTGGAGTAGAAAACTAGCTTCATTTATTTCACGTCGCTCAGTCTAATTTAGAATCATTTTTGAATTCCTAGAAGCTTGGGTACAGAGAGCTTGCTCCCTAGAGCCTTGTTTTCTGACAGTGTAGAGTAAAGGATTAAATTGAGCTGAAACTAAATTGATTGACATTTTGACACTCTGCAGATTGTGAAAAGAAAAGGAATTTGTTAAACTTTTAAAAACAGTAGCAGAAAGATCTATTCCCTTAAAGGTACCTCACTTTGCAAAGATGATTCCATTTTTTTCTTAAAAACCTATGAGGCACGTTGTAGCACTTTCCCAATTTCCTATATTACAGTTCAAAGCAAGAATTTAACTTTGAAAGCTTTTGAAAAGGCCTAGATGGGGGTGTTAAAATAGACTTCGCTGAAAAGGCACTGGCAGAGGTCTTTTGAGGGGAAACAAAGGACTATGCACTTCTGGAGTGTCACTATAGGAACCTATCTATAAAAGACAGATATACATATTTATGAAATCCTTATCTTTAGCGTTTTTTAAATGCCAGAGATATTAAGTGTGAATTGAGTAAGATACATTTCCTGCTGACTTCTTTTTCAGACAGATACAGATGACATTCCATCGTCTTCCGTAAGCAGCATCAGTTAGTATTGACTTCCATAAAATCCCATCTCTGCTGTCATGAAAGGAACTGGACTCACCTTAACAGTGCTCTTCTAAAGAGCCTGCTGCGTTTTTTTTTGATCACTGCCAGGAGGCTATAATAAATTACAGCCTGGAAGAAGTTTCAAACTGGCAACTTTGCCAGATATTTAAAGCAATTTATTTTGGGGTGTATCAGCAGATTTTTTTTTCTAACACTGCCATTTGGGTGCCTGCTGACACAGCCTGAATAAATCTTTCAAACATTTTCCTTACTAGAGATGGATGAAGACGATGATGCACTGGACTCCAGACCTTTCATTAACTCTTCACTTGCCAACTGGTTCTTTCCTATTATCAGATTCATAGGAAACTTAAATCCTATTTCCAGTATGAGTTTGCAATATTTCAAATCCCTGGGCAACAACTTTAAGGTTTTTTAAAAAAATTCTTTATTTATTTATTTTGAGAAAGAGTGCAAGCATGCTCGCCCACATTGGCACAAGCTGGGGACCAGCAGAGAAAGAGAAAGAGAGAATCCCAAGCAGGCTTTGCGCTGTCAGCTCAGAGCCTGACTAGGAACTTGATCCCACCAACCATGAGATCATGACCTGAGCCGGAATCAAGAGTTGGACACTTAACCATCTGAGCTACTCAGGCACCCCAGCAACTTTTAAGTTTTATGGAAGGATAAACTAACAAAAGAGTTTCTGGTTTTAGGCATAGAATGTATAATTTAGATTATTTAATTACTAGTATTTAGAAAATTGCCAAACCTCCCAATAGAAAAAGAGATCTGAAAAATTGTATATATAAAACAAAGACACATTTTGGGGTGCCTCACAGTTCTTGAGTTCCAGCCCCACGTTGGTCTCTGTGCTGACAGCCTAGAGCCTACTTTGGATTCTGTGTTTCCATCTCTCTCTGCCCCTCCCCCGCTCGTTCTCTCTCTCTCTCTCTCTCTCTCTCTCTCTCTCTCTCTCTCTCTCT